ATCTATCTATCTATCTATCTATCTATCTATCTATCTATCTATCTATCTATCTATCTATCTATCTATCTATCTATCTATCTATCTATCTATCTATCTATCTATCTATCTATCTATCTATCTATCTATCTATCTATCTATCTATCTATCTATCTATCTATCTATCTATCTATCTATCTATCTATCTATCTATCTATCTATCTATCTATCTATCTATCTATCTATCTATCTATCTATCTATCTATCTATCTATCTATCTATCTATCTATCTATCTATCTATCTATCTATCTATCTATCTATCTATCTATCTATCTATCTATCTATCTATCTATCTATCTATCTATCTATCTATCTATCTATCTATCTATCTATCTATCTATCTATCTATCTATCTATCTATCTATCTATCTATCTATCTATCTATCTATCTATCTATCTATCTATCTATCTATCTATCTATCTATCTATCTATCTATCTATCTATCTATCTATCTATCTATCTATCTATCTATCTATCTATCTATCTATCTATCTATCTATCTATCTATCTATCTATCTATCTATCTATCTATCTATCTATCTATCTATCTATCTATCTATCTATCTATCTATCTATCTATCTATCTATCTATCTATCTATCTATCTATCTATCTATCTATCTATCTATCTATCTATCTATCTATCTATCTATCTATCTATCTATCTATCTATCTATCTATCTATCTATCTATCTATCTATCTATCTATCTATCTATCTATCTATCTATCTATCTATCTATCTATCTATCTATCTATCTATCTATCTATCTATCTATCTATCTATCTATCTATCTATCTATCTATCTATCTATCTATCTATCTATCTATCTATCTATCTATCTATCTATCTATCTATCTATCTATCTATCTATCTATCTATCTATCTATCTATCTATCTATCTATCTATCTATCTATCTATCTATCTATCTATCTATCTATCTATCTATCTATCTAAGTAGTAAGAATACACATAATGGTGTATATATACAAAAAAACAGAAAAACAAAAACAAAGGATAGCGATAATGACATATATTAAAAAAGAAATTATGATAATAATGATAAAAATGGTGATGATACTATTACTAATAATTAAAAAGGTGATAGCTGCGATAATAATGGTAATCATAATATTGATAATAATAAAAACAACAACAACAATGACAAGATTACTACAAAGACAATTATTTCATTGAACAATAATGAGAAGGATGATTTTGAGGAGGATCATAATGATAAAAAATAATAAAATTGATGATCATCGTAATCGTAATGATAATAATAATAGTAATGATAATAATAATAATAATAATAATAATGATAATAATAATAATAATAATAATGATAATAATAATAATAATAATAATGATAATAACAATAATGATAATAATAATAGTGATATTAATGATAATGATAATAATAATAATGATCATAGCGATAATAATAATAATAATAATAGTAATAATAATAATAGTAATAATAATAATAATGATAATGATAATAATAATAATAAAGATAATAATGATAATGATGATAATAATGATGCTAATGATGACGATGATGATAATGATAATAATAATAATGATAATAATAATAATAATAATAATAATAATAATAATAATAATAATAATAATAATAGTAATAATAACAATAATAATAATAATAATAATAATAATAATAATAATAATAATAGTAATAATAATAACAATAACAATAATGATATTAACAATGATAATAATAATAGCAATAACAATGATAACAATAATAATAATAATAATAATAATAATAATAATAATAATAATAATAATAATAATAATAATAACAATAATAATAATAATAATAAAACTAATAAAAACAATGATAACTAAATGGTAAAAAGATTGGCAATCAATAATATGACTTTAACAATAAGGGGAGTTACTGGTATGTGGTATTCCGGTCTTCATACTAGTCCGCATCTTTTAAATTTGAACCTTACTTTCCTGCGTCTTAGTTCTCTTCGTGACATACCGACTGTGACTTTATATCTACCTATATATTTATCTGTCTATTTATCAGTCTGTCAGTCTATCCATCTATCTATTTATCTATATATATGTCTATCTATCTATCTATCTATATCTATCTATCTATCTATCTATCTATCTATCTATCTATCTATCTATCGATCTGTCTATCTATCTGTCTGTCTATCTATCTGTCTATCTATCTGTCTATCTATCTATCTATCTATCTATCTATCTATCTATTTATCTATCTATGTGTTTGTGTATGTGCGTATTAATTTACTATAATTATTTACCTATTCTATTTCCATAAATACTGAAACACGAATTACTTACGAGGTTACGGAAGTAGTTTGACAGAGGTCTGTTTGCAAAAAAACCTACAGGAGAGAGAAAAGAAACTTTTTAGACTCCTGAGTATCTGTTTAAGATACTAGTGTTGTTGAGGATGAAGAT